CAACGCCACCAAGTACGCAAGAGTGGCATCGCGGCAGCTGCTATTGGCGAGTATCGTATCAAACATTTTGTGCAACAACATTCTGGTATTCTCCAATCTTTGTTGCCGCATGAGAGTCATCGGTTTGTACAGAATGCCACAATATATAATGAAATCATAATAAAGACTCTCCAGCACTTTCGGTTGCTCTTCGGCATATACCAATGCCGAAAGAAACGGTCCCAGGAGTGAGGTTCTCGAGAGCTCTCTTCCGGCTGCTGATGTCATAACATCAGGCAAGAATTGAACTTGATTCGTTATCAAACGGCAAATCGGATGTATATTGCTGTTTGGGCTACTACGAATCTCTATCAGTTCGCCTAGCGCCTCGATTGGTCTTGGCATATTGTCGGTTAAGATCGACGTTTCTATCGCCGAATACAGGTCTTGCAAGACTGGAGTGAAAATTTTTTTGAACATGGTCGGATACTCGGTGTGTGTCCTAGCCACGAGCTCGCGAAGATAGCCCAGAGGTAAGTTCTGCGAAAATATCCGTTTAAAAAGAGCATTGCAAACACTGAATGATCCTCCTAGAACGAAGCTGGAATACTGAACACATTGCACTTTCAAAACTGTCACTACATCGGAAAGAGTATCGATGAGAAGTACACTGGATTGCTATAAAATATATAAAAAAGAATTAGTTTAATAAAATCTTGTCTAATTTTGAAGATATGTGTGTGTGTATGTGCGTACCTTTCCATGATTTCTTTCTTCAATTGCAATTCTTGAATAACAATCTAATAAATAAATAAGACTTTTCGGTTCTGATAAGATGTTGTTTTCGACTAATAGAATCAGCGAGAATCGATAAGGTGAAGGAGCCATCAAAGGAACTTCCCTTCTCGAAAACATGCATAAAACCTCCATCAATGCCTGACGGATAATATCGCTAAAATCTAGCTGTCTCTGTGTTTGTATGTACGCTGCCATTTGCGGCAGAAATATGCTTCCCTCTATAGGGCTTTTCCACGATACGCACAAGACACGTGATATGATAACGTTTGCAAAATCGTCTCGCTCCTTCATCCAATGTTTAAAAGTGAGCAATACTTTCACTTGCTTTGATCTTTCTATCTCCGTAAGTGTCTCGCAATTCGCCCACGATTGCAAATCACAGGAGCATTTTTCATGTATCATTGCATTTCGTTCTGCTATCTGCAAATTCTTTGTCTTCTTCTCCAATCTAGAGAACATACGTTAAATAAAAATGTTAGTCATACTCATTAAATCACAAACATATATCATTTATTTCCGTTAGTAGAATAACTATCTCCGATATGAATACATTTACTGTTCTAAACATTTTACTTTTGACTCTCAATATTTTTGAAAATGCTCGCTAAGATTTCTATGAGCTATTACATCAGAGCATGATTTTACAGTGGCAGCTGTTATTCATTATAATTTAGTAAACGATATGCGCACCCGATTAAGTCTAGTTAGATAACATATCTTCTCAACTTTCAGAACACATTATATATATTTACTAAATAAAAATAAATTAAAATACCATGTAGTATCACTTACTTGCTCTTGAGATGTTCGTTATCATTCCGCAAGCGTTTGATATTGAGCTCGAGCAGAACGCGTTCCGTATCCGTCTCATCGAGCCGCTTTCGCTTGTTATAGATTACGACGCTGTACCCGGCCTCGATGTTGGACATCTCCCGAGTGACGGCCCGAGTGACTGTTTTCTGGGTGATTTGCACCTCCCGCTTCAGCCGGGAGTTCTCAGACTGGAGATAACGTATCGTGTCGATGTAAGATGCCCGATCGCTGGGGCTGAGCGGGCTGCCAGGCTGTCGGCTGACGATCGGCGTCAACGTGCTCGGCGGCGATTGGATGAT